TGAAGTGTTCCATCCAGCATTGTTTGAAAAAGAGGCTTTTGCTGGTCTGACTTGACATACAAATGCCAACTGGAAAGAGATATTTTCCACATTAATTGGATTTACAAAAAAAAAAAAATTGTATAAAACAGTATAAAGGAATGGCAGCTGATTCACAAGGTTTTTAAAAAAAAACAAACATGTCAAAAGGGGGAAAACATTCTAGATCAACCTATATTTTAAAGATAAAACTTCATATGCAGAAAAAGAAACTAAACCAAAAACCCTACAGGACCAGGTGAGTGGCTTTGTATAATTGGAAGGGGTAGGGAGACAGAATCAGCAAAATGGCTGATTTTTCTATTTTGTCTTGGTGTTTTATAGGTTCATTCAGCATCATCTTCTGTTTGTCATCCTTGTTTATCCACAGAGGGGATCTTACTCCAGAATAATCTAGTAAACCATCCTTAACCAGATTGCCAATAAACTGCAGAATTTCTTCTAAATTACTACTGACTCATGTGTGAGTGCAGACAGCTTCACTCAGAGCAGAAACAAATTCAAAAACCAACAGCTCAGAAAATTTAATGAGATCTGAGAGCTGAGAATAAGTATTAAAGTACGAAAAAAATCACTGGGAATGTGAGATGAGCCAGAAAATAAGGGCCAGGAGAGGACACTTAGTGAAGGGGTACAAGAACCTTGTTAAATACACGGTGATCACTGGAAGCAAAAGATTCTACATGAAATAATAAGAGCAGAAAGGAATAAACACTACTAATACCACACCACACTGAAGTCATTGACTGGGACACATTAAAATTGGTACCTGGCAGAGCTCTGCAAGTCCTTATTTTTACCCACGTGGTGGTGAAGGCAAGAAACAGGAAAATAAAAGTCTGAGTCACATTGAAACACTTTCCCTTACAATGAAATGAAAGCTTCACTCCCAAATTCACCGGGTCAATAAAAACAAAATACCCACATTCTACTTCATTTTGATTTGACATCCTTTTTACTGAATGTGTGGGAGATACCTCTAGAATGAAAAATGCTTTAAAAAGTGAAAGTCATTATTTAGAAGCTTCAATGCCACATTCAAAATGGGTGAAGAAAAAGGTTTCCATATTTTTCTTTTTCAGTAAGAATTATTCTGTGCATCGGGTCTGACTTTAAACACTTCTCAGCACTTCCCAAATTCCATTTAAAATATTCTGCCTTCAAACAAACAAACAAACAAACAAACCTGCCTTCCTGTGATCAGAAGTTCCAAACGGAAGGGAAGAAAAATATGGTGAAGGGCTGAGCAAAAAAATGCTCTAAAATAGCCCCTACTTGACCAACCCAGGAGTACAGGTAAAATGGGAAATCGGTGAGGAAGCACCAAGGGCAGACATCATTCAGGCACTGCAGCAGCTCACATTCCCAGCTCAAGAGAGAGAACAATTCCCTCAGATGATGAGCTATTTCTCCCCATAAGTATTCCTTAAGCAGCGTCAAGTTTTCTAAATATTTGTTACTTGAAACTATTTCCCAGCTAATTACCACAGCTGGCTGCCCAGGACACTTAAAATCAAGATCTGTCTTTGTTCTGCTAAAATTGCTCTTCTAGCTTGTTGGTTCTTTTCACGAAGTCTACAGGCCTCCTCTTTAATCCAAAATTATACTGTCTAGACCAAATGCAAAGATAGACTTTGGCATATTTGGATAAAAATTCTCTAATGAACAGATTTTGCCCCAAAACATTCATCTGTTGACCACATGAACAGATTTTCCCTCCGTGCAGACATATTCAGAAAATCCCATTTGTGGGGACTAGAAAACCCAAAATGCCTGTAGATAACATGTAGAAGCAGTTAATTTAATCACATCATTGAAATTAATTATGTGAGCACCTGCATTTAAGCACTAAATAATGGTAAATGCAGATACCCAGATTCTTTCCTGATACATGCAGAGCTTAATAATGACCTAATCACTGAAAAATAATGTGCCAACAGCTTCTAAAAAAAGTGGGAGTGATCATAACAGTGGGCTGGATCCTGAAAGAATGTCTTTAAATCACAGTTCCTCATATTTCAAGAACGCATCACAGTCTGAATAGGCCTTGGTCAAATTCATAATAAAATTTGATTCAGGGCATCAAGAAAATTATAGAACATGCTGAGCTGGAAGGGAGCCACAAGGATCATCGAACTCCAGCTGCTGGCCCTGCACAGGACACCCCAAAAATCCCTGAGGGCATTGTTCAAACATTCCTGCAGCTCTGGCAGCCTTGGGGCTGTGCCCACTGCCCTGGGGAGCCTGTTCAGTGCCAACCACCCTCTGGGGAAAGAACCTTTCCCTGAGATCCACCCTGAGCCTGCCCTGACACAGCTCCAACTGCTCCCTCAGGTCCTAAAAAAATGTTTCACTTTATTAGATTAAAGCCCGGAGGAAACTCTTTATATGCTTACTCTAAGCTTACAAACCAGTGCAGAAGTTTTCAGTAGTTTTTGGTGACTCTGCTCTGAAATGTAGATAAAATTCCCTAGTGAATCCACACTAACCTTGCCAGCCTAAAGCCAGGGACAAAGCCTGAACTCAGAAACCACAACACTTTTTGGACATATTGTTTCATTAATGCCACTACATTTTTGCTGTTATTAAATGCTAAAGGAGGAGATCAGGCAGACTTATTTCCTAGTAGGAAGACTGCAACCTATGATAAGTACAACTCAGAGGAATCTCAGGAGCTCAGTGCAATAACCTCCATCCTCCAGGTGCTTCCTCAGTCTCCAAAATTTATCAGCATTAATCCTGCACTTACCAACTGTCCTCAGAGGAGTTAAACTGATGAACAAAAAAAAGGCCGCAACAATTCTCAACGCTAGCATGCCTAGGATTGTGCTCTCTGTTAGCTGAAAGTGTGTTTATCACACTGTTAATTCGCTGTTAACACACTGCTAATGCAAAAATTCCAACAGTTGTAAACACAGAGAGCCCAAAATAATTCTGCGAAGCAAGTGGAGGTTTGCAGTGTCGCTTTGAACCGCAGAAAGTCGCAGGGAATCTTTAGCAAAACGAGCACTACAATTTGGCAAGCAGGCAGGGCTCTAGCGGTGTAAATACAAAAGCAGCAAGCTGTTGATACAATCACGGTATTATTGTCCCCGGGACACAGAGGGTGGGGAGTATTTTGGTGAAGAGGGGTGTATGTTTTGGGCTTGGCAGTTTGTCTACCCTGAAGAGGCTTGAATTGAAGTTGATTACCCACGTTCATTATTTTATCTCCACCATAAATGGGCCAGCCTAGAACTAGAATGGCAAATGAAATAATGGCACCCTGTAACTGTTATGATTTTTTTTTTTTTTTTTTTTTTTTTTTTTTTTTTTTTTTTTTTTTTTTTTAAAATTTAAGGGCTCAAAGAGGCTGAATTGTTTT